AGAATACAACCATTTTTGCGTAAGTGCATTGAACAGAATTGCCGCACGGAAACAGTTCAAAAGTATATGCATATGAAAGTGCTTCATATATAGTAAATTTCGAAGCAAAAATGCTTCATATTCTTTGATGCAGTTGAATAGCACAAGTCGTTCATTTAATGGATCGAGATTTTAATAGAAAAAAAAAAAAATGTAACTGGTGAAGAAATTTTCTCAACTATTTTAGAAATTATTTGAGAAAAAAAATTACTTTCTCAATATTGTATCCATCAACTTGTAAATGAAAAAGTATATCAAAAATTTCACGTGTTTAAAAAATGAAATTTTAAAAATGCATTCCTAAAAGAAATAATCTCACATTAACCGAAAAATTCGTTTTGTTAATTTGTTTACATTTTATTTTAAATAAATGACAATTTTTTATTTCTAACTTATATTTTATTTAAAATTATTGCATATACAGTTAATATATAAAACACTTAAGAATAATTTTGAAAAATCCCGCAACACATGGGGGATCGAATCCAGGACCCTTGGGATGCGAGTCGTGTACTTAAACCACACAGCCACGTTTACTTACAGAACTTTTAGCTAACATTTCTTTTTTAATATTAAGACTGTTCTATCTTTTGTTTGTGATGACAAAATAACTACATTATCTTTAAATTTGTACATCTAATATTAGGTTATAATCATTTGGAGTTATACCCACAAATTCAATTATTGAAACATTAGAATAAAAATTCTCTTTAATTGTTAATAACTTTTTTAAAAAAGTTAATGTTAAAAAAAATAGATTTTTATTTTTTCCAAACGTCTCGTCTTGACGTGTCCGGTGACATTTGAAAATATTTCAGAAAAAAAAATTTATTTTTAAACATGTCACGTGCGATCATTAGGACCAATATTAGAAAACGTGAGTAAAATGAAATTTCGATTGAAAAAAAAATAAGTGTATGCCTCTTTATATAATTTTACGAGAGATTCGCGTGCTTGAACTGTGGCAAATTGCATGCTTTGTTTATTCAAGAAATTATGAAAAAATGATAATTACTATTGTGAGTCTTCGCTCATGCATATTTTTTAAAATCAGTATAGCGTTCAATATACAATGTGGCCTCGAACGATAGCTGTATTTTACGTGTTTTCATCATTATCAGTTAATTGAAAAAAAAAAATTCCAATACATTTCTTCTAAGCATCATATATATGTAGCAAAAGTTGTAAATTCAGATGTTCATTACATGAACATTTTGCTTCCTCTTTACGATCAGCAAAAAAATTTGCTTCCTCGTGGAGAAAGCAAAATTTTATTGCCAAAATGTGTATTTTTGATTTTTTAACTTTCATTAATTCTTTAAATTTACCTCAAATTTATACTTCATATATAACGATCGATTCGTCTTGACGTAAGGAATACAATTATTTCATATATAAACTTTAATTTAAAAAATCACAAAATTTTATTGCCAAAATGTGAATTTTTGATTTTTTAACTTTCATTAATTCTTTAAATTTACCTCAAATGTATACTTTATATATATCGATCGATTCGTCTTGACGTAAGGAATACGATTTTATTATATACAACCTTAAATTTTTCAATTTAAAAATTTTTTCGATTAAAAAAAAATTTTTGGAAAAAAGACGATAAAATTTTTTTTTGGGGTATTTTTTAAAATCCTTTGGTCAGATTTGAGATATTAATATGATAAATGAGCCTACTAAATTTTATCTAAATACATTAAAACCTGTTAAAGTTATCTTCTAAACAAAAAAGGGATCCACACACATACACATACATACATCCAGACAATTGATCAGGGTCTCATATAATTATAATTATATATCATTTGTTTCCGCCACTTTGAAAAGTTTTATAAACGAAAGGACTACAAAGCTTCCTCCACGAGGAAGCAAAAAGTAATCTTATATTGTATATTATATATATAATTTTCGAAACAAACTTTTTTTCTTTTTTAATTTTATATTAATTTTCTTTTCAAAAACAGAAATTAAAAATCATCGTTCTATGTTACATTTTTGTAACAAAAATAGTCGTCCTCAAAGTAGATTCTCTTTTTTGTAAGGATATAATATTTCAACTTTTTCCATTAAGAATTTTTTGATATTCGCGCTTTAACAAAACAAAGTTTTGAATTTATTCGTGTCTTAAGGAACACTGTTCGTCAAGAAAAACACAAAAATTTTGTCAATGTCACAAATAAATTTTGTGTATATGTATATATATATATATATATATAATAAATTTCTGATTATCAATTTCTTCCTTTATTACACTTTTCATTGTTGGCAATTGTCATTGCTCAGTAGACCTTGGCATATTTTCTTCAAATATTCTCTATATCTCTATTGGTTTCCAATATTTATATATATATTTATAACAAAAACAAATTTTTTTTTTCAAAAATCGGTTACATTTTAGACTGAGTTGAAATTTTTTAGATACTTTCGTTGAAGGTAAAATTTTTTTAATATAAAGGAGAGTGGAGCATTAATTAATTAATTAAGGATTTTTTAGTTTAAAAATGGTATATTTAAATAGATATCCAAAAATCGTTAGAGCCGAACACTCGATTTTTTAGTTACAATTTTTTCATTGATATCATTTTTTTGTTCCAATCGACGACAATTTATTGTACGAAACCTTTTTCTCTTGGAAAGTAAGAAAAACATGAGACGTGACTAATATTAATCATTCATTGTATATCTATTTCGCAAAAAAATCTAATATTATTTTTATTTTTTAAATTAAATCAAATATTTTTGAAACTATTGTAACGCGGCATTTTGTCGCGTACAAATGACTTAAAAATAATAAATTTAAATAAATTTTGTAAATTAACGATACCAAATAAAAATTATTTTCTTACGATACTCTCTTCGCTTTGTTTAAATATTAAAATCACGTATTAAGAAACCAACTTGCCAAAGTCGTCAGATTAATAATTGACTTCTAATAAATAAATTCGATTCTGATTTGTCCTTTCGTTCTGTAATGAAAACTCTCGCGAGGCACTGAGGATTCTTGCCCGGTCACAAAGACGTTGAGGACATTACTATCTATCATTGAAATTAGAAGTCATCAAGGGAAGAACTTCCTGGTGTATATATTTGGATGAGAGTCCCGAATATTCAAGAACACCAGGAAAAGAAATGGCTGTTTTGTTGACGATCTGTCAAATCAATACTGGCAGTAAATTTTCTATGAACTTTTCGCATCAATCAATTTAACATCTGATAGTGTAGGGATCTGCGTTACCGACGACTGCGTATCGATTATCGGTCGCGGATATTATATTATTGAATATAAATTGATCTCAATGACACCGAGAAGAGAGGTCGCTGTTTAGCGATGCTTTCGAGTTTAATTTGTCAGCCATTTTACTCTCATTCTTATCCTGCTGATCGTAGAGTCAAGTTGTGTTTTACTTTTTTTCGTATAAAATAATTAAAATTATAAAAAAAGAGACGAGGCGTCGTCGTCAAATGGACGGTGAGTCCCAATAAATTGATTAGGAGTCGTTTCCATCAGAATCGATCTCATTATTATTAAAGTATAATTGAATAAATAAAACATAAATCTTGACTTTCGGCCTTCTGCCATTATTTAACTTTTTCTAAAATTTGAAGTGAATATTAATAAATAGTGTTATTGTCATAAATTTTGTGTAATTAATGGTGTTTCTCCTTATCTCCCTCTCTTTGCGGTCTATTGTTGCTGTAAAGTAACAAAGGAATTCCTGAGCTGATTTTAGTTTTTCCTAATTAGAATTATAAAATTTAGGTGTCGAGTAATTTAACTATTTTTTTAGGTTTAGTTATTTTCCATAAAATAACTTGGCGTCTTGGCAGAATTAATAATTGAAAAGTGTAGGTAACGTTTATTGTCTTAAAAATATAATAATAAATAATTTCAATTTAAAATAAAAATCAAATTATAATGATAATTTTCCTTCCCAATTATATATTAGAATGTGAAAATTTTGATCCACGGAAGGTATTTTAAATAACACAAGTTTTATGTCATTTTTTAATTTATTGCTAAGCAACGTATCGATGACATGGTTTTGTCATCCTCTTCAGGCAAGTATAAAATTAAAATTACATTTTTTGTAATTAGTCAAATGAATATGAAATTTTGTGTCTTATCATGGCAAGCGAATTTTCGAAACGAAAATAAAAATCATTAATAAATTAAATTCAACGTTATACTATTTTGCTTTAGGAGATTTGTGCATTAAAAAAAATATATTTGAAAACAAAAATTCAAAAAAATTAAAAATAATCGTTTATTTTGTAAAAATTAATTTAAAAAATTAAAAATTATTTTGATGAAATAAAATTTGATTCATATTTTTTAAATACGTATTTTCTTGTTTTCCGTATAAACCTAATATAAGATAAATGCCCCAGAATTCATGTCATTGCATTAGTTAACGCCGGTTTTGTTAAAAATTACAAAAAATATTTTAAAAGGAACACTGAAAAAAAATTTATTTGATTCAAATAATCGGTTAATTGTCTATTATCAAATAATTGTTTATTTGTATCAAATAATTATTATTTGATATGGTATTTGTTTAAAATACAAAAATTATTGGTTCAAATAAAATTTATTTAATTCAAATAAAAATGATTTAGTTCATGTAAATATTTATTTGATAATAGTCAAGTAATCGAGTATTTGAATAAAATAAATTTTTTTTAGTGAAATAAATATTATGTTCTTTCAATTATAATTATTATTATAAAAATAATACAATAAAATAATAATTATTTCAATACATTGTTTTGAATTCTTACCGAAGCAAAGGTGCCGGTAACTGGAGCATTTATACCTTATAGAAACAAAAATAAAAAAAATTATTCCAATGTAAAATAATTTTTTGAATGAAAATTTGACATGAAATGCCCCATATTATAGGATAAATGGGCACGCAAGTAACATGTGGTAGTAAATAGTAAGTTGTACGTACATAGCGTATATAGAATTCGTGTCCATTTGATTGATGCTGGCCAAGTAAATAGATGCGTATGCGCACTCAGGTACAAACTAGTCAGCAGAATAATATGCTCTCCAGTAGATACGTCCTTGCTCAAGTTATACCCCAGTGTGTCGATCCTTTAGTTCAGTTAACACTAAAACAGTTCATCAATATAATTAAATTTTCTACATTATAAATTTATTAAAAACAGTGCGATAATTATAAATTAAAAACTTAATATATTGTTAAAATTAAAGCAATTATATCATTTTTAATATCAATTCAATATTAAAATTATAATCAATTATAAAAATTATATTAATAAAATTTTTTTTTTTATTTATAAAAGAAATATCACTTTGAAATGAGAAAACTTATTGAAACAATCAATTTTTATTATTAAATAAATAATTACTTGAATCAAATAAATATTCATTTCAATAAAATAATTATTATCGTAGTTAATTAAATTATATTTCTTTTTAAATGTAAAAATTATTGGATTCTATTAAAATTTATTTGATTCATATAAAAATTATTTTGTTCCAAGTAAATATTTATTTGATACTAGTCAAGTAACTGATTATTTAAATCAAGTATAATCTTCCTCAAGTGTTTAATATTTTATCACATTTATACATTTAAAGCTACACGACTTGAAAATGAGTGTAATTATATTTCCTTGTTTCGTATTATTACAAAAAAGTGAAATAAAAAAATTTTCTAAACATGTATTAATTCTGTTAAGTATTTTTTGGGAATCTTCATATGAGAGTGGATTGTCAAAATAAATTATTTTCCCCAAGGGTGATATTTATTGTTTCTTTTCTTGTTGATAAAATATTTACATATATATATTTAATGATGTTGTAAATTTTTCAAATTCTTACCTTAATTAAATTATAATTGTTAATTAAATTACTCTATTATTAAAAGCCATGAATTTAAAATTGGTATTTTCTTTTTTTTATTAAATGAAAAATCTACTTCTTTTGTTTCACTTTTTTTCGGAAAAATTAATGAAATATTGTTCTTATTCATTCGCATGCGTCAAGTGGTATATATAAATCAACAGGTTAATGAAATGAAAGTACCAAAAACTTTGGCAGAAAAAGGAGGATTCCAAAGGATCTTTAAAGAATTAGAAAAACTACAAGAAATTTTAGCTAATTATGAGGTATCTTGAAAATATATTTTGCGACATTTTTTTAAATTTTACTTTAATTAAATTAATTTAATTTAATTATTATAGATATAATTTAATAATTTTTTTTATTTATTCGTTTATTTATTTTTTGTTCATTTATTATTTATTTATTTTATATTTATTTATTCATCATGTTAAATACATTTTTTTTCTTCTCTTAATTCATTGTGAATTATATACGATTACGTTTTATATTTTTACTATTGATTATTATTATTAATATTAATCTAATTATCTGCAGATTAATTTCGATTTTGTCAGTTACTGTTGTTAGAATCTTCAAACCAATTTATATATATATATATATATATATATATATATATATATATATATATATATATCTTTCTATATTCTAAAAAGATTTCGCCGCAGCAGCCGCCGCCGCTGTTTCAGAAATTTTGACAAGAATGGGTCATTCCATGTTAAGTGTACCCAACCCATGTTTTGACAAGGTTAGGTAAGGGTGAGCCAACCCATGTTTTTGACATGGATAGTACAATAGTTGGTTACACTTGATATGGAATGACCCATATGAATATAGCTGCAAGTCCCCCCCCCCTTCTTCCCCTCCCTGGTAAAAAATAACCTAAATTTTAAGGTTATGTTCGTTTCAAGACTCTGAATAGGGCCGCAAGTCCTCCCCCTCCCTTACTCTCTCCGTATTTCCCACAAAAAATGACATAAATTTTAAGGTTATGTTCATTTCAAGACTTTCAATATAGCAGCAATTCCCCCGTCTCCCGCCAAAAATGACATAAATTTTGAGGTTATGATCGTTTCAAAACTGAATAGGGTCGAAAGTTCTCCCCCCTCCCCTCTCTCTGTATTTCCCGCCAAAAGTGACCTAAATTCTGAGGTTATGTTTGTTTCAAGACTCTGAATAGAGCAGCAAGTCGTTCCCCCTTCCCTCATCTCTCTCCGTATTTCCCGCCAAAAATGACATAAATTATGAGGTTTTGTTATTTTGTCGGGAAACGACCAAGAAACAAACATAACCTCAAAATTTATGCCAAAATTTAACGCAAAAAGACAAAGGAACAAACATAACCTCAAAATTTAGGTCAAACTTTGAAGCAAAATGACCAAAAAACGAACATAACTTTAAATGTAGGTCAAATTTTAGCTGGAAAATTTAGAAAATTTGATCAATTTTGTTTTAAAAATTGAAAATAATAAAAATTATTATTAATAAAAATCGTAAATGACATTTAAAGAAATAAATAATAAAATATTAATAATATTATATTAAATATTAATAATAGTATTAATATATATATAGGTATATATACTTTATCTTATCTCTGAATTTCTATGATCGATTTCGGCTTAAATTCGCTTCGAGATCTACTTTTCATATCTTGAAAGTTTTATCGCATGTCTATTTTTCACAAAACTTTTTAATTCCGAAAGAAGTAGATTTAAAAATTTTAAGGAGACAAAAATTTATATAAGATTATAAAATGCATTAGCATTTATATTTAAAAAAAGGAATATATTTACAATTTTCATATATAAAAAATCAATAAATAAAATGAAATTTTAAAAAAGTTATTAAATAGGTACACTGAAAATATTTTGGTGCAGCAGCTGCCCTAAACGAAAAATTTCTATATTCAGTTAATTTCATTAATATAAAAACTCATGGTAAATATTAAGTATGAAAGTTAATTGAATATAGAAATTTTTTTTGGGGGCAGCTGTCTCACCAAAATTACTTCTTAGAAAAAACTAAAAAATTATTAATTATTAATTATTTTTGTAAGAAAATAAATTTTTGGATTTCATAATATTATATAAATATAAAAAAAAATAGTTAAAATATTTATAAATTATATAATTGACGCAGAAAAAAAATTTTCTTTTTGTATTACAATAATTACAATGTATAAAGAAGCCCTTAATGAAATTTGCCGTGGTTGCGGGGAAAATTGTTTGTAATGATATTATCATAATAATATTGTATTTGTTTGAGAGACCATTAACCACATTAGGTTTTCTATGCATGCACACTAATGTGCATAATAAAACTGAGCATACGTCACTTAGTATAATTTAACCTAATTTAATTCCTTGAAATCGAATCATTAAAGTATATATGGCTTGAATGTAGAAATTATAATTAGAGAATTTCAATCTATATTCATTTCATTGAAGTATCTTACGTGATTTGAAATTTCATACGATAATGCGGATTCTATTCATATAAATATATATTTAAATGATAATGTTCAAAGATTTGTTCATGGCTGGGAAAAACCTTGTAATATTAATTTTAACATTATTATGTAGATATACCTATAATATTTTATAGCATTTACCTGATAGAATCATTGTAATTACGATTAAAAAGCTTCGCTGATTTTAAGACGTTTTTTTTAAAACCAAATTTATATTTTACAGAAAGAATGAAAAATTTAACTTGTTATAATAAATAATTAACAATAATTTTTTTTTTAATTTGACTTTTTTCAAATTTAACCCTTAACTGGCACAATTCGAACGTAAATCGCACAACGGGTCTGCTGGACCCGACGTATTCAAACCGTGTATTGTACAGCCGGTATTGAATATTTTTGCACAAAAATTTAATCTGTTGTAGCTTATGATGTGTTTTTTAAATTTTCATTAGTTTTGCAGGGATTAATTTATTTTAAGTTAGTTGAAAAAAAATTGTGAAAAATAAAAACGAAAAATTGCGTGTTTTTACTTAAAAATTCAATAGTTATTTAAATTTTAATATTATGGCTTAAAAATTTAAGATTATGATGTATTATTCTTTAAGGGAAAAATTACCACAATAGCAGGACTTGCAAAAAAGGTATTTATTTTGCAGAATAAAATGTAACTTTTTTGGGTTAAAATTAAAAATGTTTAATTATTAATGTTTGAAGCTAATTTATTCTTTTGTATCGAATTAATTGTATCAAAAATACTTAGAAAATTATTATATGTCAAACTAATATATTAAAATATAAAAAATATTCAAATACATTCATTTAATTTAAGCGAGAAAATATGCTCGGGTCTACTGGACCCATTGTGCCAGTTAAGGGTATATATGTGTGTGAAAGTATTAAATTATGTGCTCTGTTTTGTTCAAATAAAGTTTTGCTTTTGTAAATAAACTCTTGTTAAATTCTCATATATTTTAAATATTATAATCAAATTGACGTTTAACAATGTGTCTTGTTTGTCGATCAACAAAATGTGAACTATATTGTGAATGCAAGTTTAAAAACTATTGATTAAATACAGAATAACGTGGAAAAGTAGGATTTGAGGTTTTCTAATAATATCCAGTCACTTCTGAATTTAGTCTCTTTATCAAACATAAAATACGTACATTGATTTCAGTAAATTCATCATCCGTGACGCTCGTTTCTTCTTTTCATATACATTGTTCTGAATAAAACACTCGTAGTTTTCTATATATTCTCTCTCTATATATATATGCTTTAAAACAAGAAATAATTATATGTATTTTCTCCATTGTATTTATCAATTTATTTTCATTTGTGTTCAATTATAGAGTCCATTGATTTTAGAATTTAAACGTGTTTCTCATTATTTATGCATTAGACACTAGAAAAAAACATCTTATTTCAACTCATTCATAGTGTTCCAAGCAATTAAAAATTTATTAAATTAAAATAATTGTAGTGTCGAATACTATGTAAAAAGTGTTTTGGAGAAAGAAATTTTTAATATCTTAAACACAAAAATGTCTTAAATTAAAATACTTTTAAGGTTTTAAAGCAAACAAAATTATAAGACAGTAAAAGATATATTTTTTATTTTTCTTAATTTCTTTCTGTTTTTTTCCTATTTATCATTTCAGATTCAAAAGTTATATTCTATAAACAATATGCAGAAAATTTTTGTTTTTCTGAAATTATGATAATTGCATGTCAATTATATATATAACACTAATAGACAGATGTGAATCT